GCAAGTCTAATGCATCGCCGCGGGCCTAGGCTAGGGCTGACGGGGGCGCAAGATCTAGTCGGGTTAAAAATAATAGAAGACTCAAACCTGTCAAATGAATGTACTTGTTGACAGAGGTAAACGCCACCCTATTTGTGAGGGGTTACAAAGAGTCACTGTTGAAATGTTATTACGGATCAGTCCCAGTCAGTTCACGGCAACTCAGCTAGTAAAGAGCTATATATGATGAGGTTTCCAGAAATGAACTAAAATTGGGTCTGAGTCGGATACGGGTCCTAAGCATATGGCGCGTGCCCCTTAAAGATTTTATCCAAATATAATATTTCAGCCGATTGTCTACTTCGCCAGTTTCCAATTCCAGGGCCGTCTTAGCCAGGAGTAGCTAAATAAACTGAAATTCCCAGTAACGATAAAATAGTTTTGGATTTACCGTAAAATAAAGGTTTGGCGTACGTTTGTACGGTATATAGTGCCTCTTTTTAAAAGGAAAAAATCACAAACACATTCTCATCTCTCCTATCTAATAACCCTTTGGGGACACTGCTCTGCCACTCTACTGAAGAAACTTGAAATCCTACAAAAGAGAGCTCTTAAATTCATCTTCAACCTCCCCTACTGTGAACCCTCCCTAAATGTTTATAAAATTTCTTGCATTCTACCCCTATCCATACAAGCTGACCTGTCATCCGTTGTCTATATGTTTAAAATCAAAAATAATATGGTAAATACCACAATCAAATTAAAATTTAATCAAGATGTTCACAATTATAACACAAGATCAGCAAAACAAATCCACCAAACGCATCATCATACATCAAGGCATGGAACCAACTCGGTGTTTAACACAGCTGTAAAGCTCTTCAACTCTCTCCCACAAGATCTGACTACCAGCTTTTCTTCCATTAAAAAATTTAAAAGAGCTGTTCACAAACTATACTTTGACAAGTTTTTTAACTGAAATGTAACTACTATTGCAGCTATTTTTTATTACTTCTTCTCACTCCTGTTGTTTGCTATCCTTGCCTAATACTTCTATCGAGGGGTGCCCAACTCGAAAAAATCGTGTACACCTGATTACCAAAAAGCGACGATTACCAAGGATTACCGAAGATTACCGAGGATTACCTATGATTACCAAGGGTTTCCGAAGATTACCACTGACAAAAGATTACCAAAGATTGCCAGTGATTCCCAAAGATTACCAGTGATTACCAAAGATAACCAGTGATTACCAAAGATTACCAGTGATTACCAAAGATTACCAGTGATTACCAAAGATTACCAGTGGTTACCAAAGATTACCAGTGATTACCAAAGATTTCCAGAAATTTTCTTGCTGGATTACTGAGTGGTTACCAAAGATTACCTGGTGATTACCAACGATTACCTGTTGATTACCAGCGATTACCTAGTGATTACC